TAGAGCTGATATAGGGCAATTTGTTCAGCAGAGTGACGTAAGCTTCGTTATGATTGCATCATCCATGACTTCTAGGACTAACATGATGCAATTCATATCATGTATGATGCAATACCGGCTTCAGATTGCATCATTCATTGTTTTGCCTAAAAAGCAAGTACTGTCCAAACCCAGTCATAGATTTATTTATAGATCCAGTCAAAGATGTATTTTAGTCATTTCTGGTTTAAATTGAGATCCCTTCCCTTTATAACTCACTTATCCTCCGCCATTCCCAAGTCAAGGGTCGTATATACTGACCCAATAGCATATCTTGAAAACTAGAGCCAATCAACAATTTTAAGCATCATTTTCGTTCTCAGTGACCCAGAATTAGTAAAGTTCGACTACATTTATTTCAGAAGCATTTTGGCTATAGAGCAGTGTTACATCACAAAAATGCATTCCTTTCACAAACTACTCAAATACTTTTCATTTCATTTTTAAAAGAGAGCTTGTGCAAGCAACATGTGCTATAGTTACAAATAAATTCCAGCTTCCATTCCAAGAAACCATCTTCAGTTGCTCATAGTTTTCCCAAACCTACTTCCTTAGGCTGAAACTTTCCATGTAAAGTTTTAGCCAAACTGAGCCAGCCATTTCTGACAGTATTTTCCCCACATATGTTCTGACTAGAAATTTTGAACTCATATAATTTGAAAACAATGCTAGAGAGTTAAAACTTGGCTTGTTTTGTACTTGGGTCTACAATCTAAGTTGTTTTAGTTATGAGGATTTAAAATGAACCAATTCCATACATATTCACCATGTTCCATGCATGGATTTTTCTGTTTACTTTCTGTGTGACAGGATGCATTTGCTGAATTTAAATATTCAGAACTTAAAGATACTGATTCAATTTTCTTCAACTATAATTCAATATTTTATCTCAATGTGAGATTTACTAACCAAGATATATTTTAAAACTGTTCAGAAATATATTGGGTTGTGTAGCTTACACATTTAGATCCACACCCCTGAGCAACATAAGTTAAACCTACCTAAGCGCCAATGTAGACAGTACTGTGTTGGGAGGAGAGCTTCTCCCACCAACATAGCTACCGCCTCTCATGGAAGCAGGACTTATTAAGCCGATGGGGAGAGCCCTTTCCCACCAGCTTAGAGTGTCTTCACCAGAAGCACTACAGCGGCTCAGCTGCATCGGTGCAATGTAAATAATGTAGTGTAGACGTAACCTAAGTCAGGAAAAGAAGTGGTTAACTGCTTTCAAAGGGAGCCATGAACAAAGGGCCTAGCCTGCCCCAGAGAAATTGCTTAGCCTGCAGGCTGGAAGAAAGGATCCCCACTTGAGCTTTTTAGGGCAGATATATAAATGTGAAGGGGCAGTTTGTAGAGTTCTTTGAGCAGAGAAGGAAGGGCTATTTTTCTGTCTTCGAATACAAAGGGAATAGAGCTAGGAGATTCTCAAGCCAAGTTCTGACTAGAAAGCATGGAGAACCTGCAAAACCAACTGCTTTATTGGCCTTATCTTCATGACAAAAGCGGGAAAAAAAGGTGTGTTCTTAACTCAAATTAACTAACTCAGGATGAAATGAGTTAGCTGGTTAAATTTAAAGACTGATCTCCCACATAACACTTCCTCAGCGTTTAAAGACTGAACAGTTTCCCACACATTTTTTTTTTAAAGGGAAACCCCTTTCTATGTACAGTCATTGGATCCTATACTGTATTTATAGTCTCTATAGAAATGAATTAGTCTTCTTTTCAGACAACAGATATTTGCAAATCAGCACTAACTTCACTTACATTTATCAAACTGAGGGTTCATTTGCTGTTCAGTCAATGTTCTTTATATTCGGAATTTTCCACTCTCTTGCACTAGAAAGCAAGTCTGCATTTCTATCTTCTGTGCTCTAATGCTTCACCCAGTGGTCATGCAGCTTTATCACAACAGTACATTTCTCTAAGACTTTCCTTTCTTACTGTTTATGTTTCTAGGAATCAAAGTTGCTGCACTTAGAGCAAACTGTTCATATTTTTGAGCTCACCTTCTAACAGTGCATAGGCTGCATGGCCTTTTTATGTGGACAGATTTGGGGCTATTTAAGTACATAAAAATTACCTATACTGGTTGAAAATGGGGAGTGAGGGGGCAATCTGCAAATTTAATATAGGCACAAGTGTGTTGTTGTTGTACAAGGATGCAAGAAGACTTTTATTAAGAACAGATTTTTATTGTCACACAATGTAAAGAGAGAAAGTTTTCAAGCAAATTGCTACCAGTTCAATCCCTTCTGACCCATTAATTTTACTGTAGCAGTAGCTTAGGTAAGTTTTGCTTTTAACTAGAGAGACGTTCAAGCTGGAAAAATTGGATCCAGAACAAGACTTGTAATAGGCTAAAGATTTAAGGCATTCAAATCTGGGATTTTGGTTTAGTCCGTTATAGAGAGAGGCCATTTGTAAAATTTGGATCCATTATTAATCCCCTCTTTCCTTTGCCCAAAATTCAGAGACAGTTTTCCTAGTGAGTTAAAAATCTAGTGGAGGCCTTAGATCAGTGGTGAGCAACCTGCAGCCCGCAGACTGCACGCGGCCCGTAATCTGCTGTCGGGCTGCGAGACTGTTTGTTTACATCGACTGTCCGCAGGCACGGTAGTCTGCAGCTCCCAGTGGCCGGGAATGACCACCACCATTGCCTTAGATTGTTTGTCTCATAGGTCTCAGATATTTTATAGGGTTCTAAGAACTATAATTAGTGTATAGTGGCTTATAAGCAAAACATTTAGAAGCATTATTAAAGTCATTTAGATGTGCTGACTTCTCTCTTCACCTACATAACACTCCTATGCACCATTGCCTTGCACCGTTACTCTCCAAGCATAGGTTATGCATCTCCCCTTAAAACTGAAGCCCCTCAGAACCATTTAGATCTCTTTGACAATCACAGAATTTTAATCTCCCTGCTTGCTGTGTTGGTCCATTGCATTCCATTCAACACAGTATCTGGCTGGCCCCTTAGCTGTCCAGAAAGGTGTTTAATACAATTTCAGCTCCAGCTCCAACCAGTTTTGTGGTGTGATGCAGAGGAAACATACCCCACCCATTGCTGAGTATTGTAATAAAGTCCATCCCTGATGGATCTAGCCAAGGATTCCCAGACGTTCATTCTGAAAACTGCCCATCCTTCCTACTTAGGTGAAAGGAATCTGTGCCATCTGAGATCTGAGTATGTTTCTTTCTGCACATGACCATCACACCTCAAACCTCCCCCCCCCCACTCCACCCCACAACCCAGGCATGTCCATGAGATATACTTGAGCAAGAGATGTGAGATCATTCTAAAACACCCATGTTTCCCATTCTGTAGCGCACAATAGACTAGCTGCATCCTTGGTGTAACTCCATTGGAGCTATACCACCAGCTGCTAACTCTAATGATATTTGATGTTATACTTAAAGCTCCAGCTGCTGGAGACAAGTAATTACATGAAAATCTCCGTTTTTGTTTTTTGTTTTTTGAAAGGTGTAAGTTTCTAGCCCTCGTAATTGCAGAGAAAAGCTTGAAGATGTGACCCAAGAAATAAAGACCAAGAAATAAAAAGATCCCCAAATGTATTATATTTAAAATTACATGGTTTTTAAGCCACTCTCTTGATATTTGGGACCTGACTCATGAAATGTTTGGGGTTGGCAATACTGTACCAGGAATGAACTTGGTCATTGAGTTTACTGCATTTGGGGTGAAATACACCCTGGTGTGGAAGTCTGGTTCTAGACTCTTCAAACCCCTTAAGCACTTGTGTTGAGTCTGGCAATAAGAGTTTGGGGGAAGACCTGCTGTGTGAGTGGGCTTTGTGTCTGCATAGGTGAGAATCCCAGGGAAAGGTTTGAAGAGCTGTTTGGATGTAGCTTGGGGTAGGGAGGACTACAGCATTATTTACTAGAGTACTGAGAGTCTGAGGTCCAATTTCAGAAAGACTGAAATAGCAGCTGCAGAGGTGTTCATTTTCTGCCTGCCCCCAGGGTGGAGGGAAGGTTGAATTCCTTCCCCTTGCCCCTTGTGGTGTTGCTTGCACAAAATCACATGAGTGTGGCTTTATGTGAGTATATATCGGGAAGTGACTTTCACCCTTACTAATGAGGTTTTAGTTGGACTTTTAAAAACATGTCTAGTTTGAACTCACTTCCCTACATCTGCTGTACTAGAAGAAGGATCAATCCAGTGAAGGCATTTAGATGAAATATTTGTTCCTTGAGGTTTATTCTGATATACACTTGTATATTTTATGGGTGATTAAAACAAAGCTACAGTAAATTAAATGTAATAAAGTGTCGTGATCTCATTTAAGCTACATTATGTAGTAAAAGTACAAGTATGTGACACAGTGTGGCAGCATGGTTTTATAGCACTAAAAATAATCATATATATTGCTTTGGTTCATGACCCTGCCTCTTGCTGAGAAACCCTTTCCTCTTGTGGCTTGAACTTTTTCAGCCTTTTCTTCATCAGCTACCCTACCTTATGTAGCGATTGAGTAAACCTGCTGTGCTGTTAGAATTTCCATTCCTGGCTGAATGTAATAAAATCTTTGTGTAAATAAATATATAGTTAACCAATTTGCTTTTTAGAAGAGCATTACATTTGTTTTTATCTTATGGTCTGTTTTTCTAATTGCCTTCTTTATGGCATTAAAGGATAAAGAATTTGCAAGAGATGGAGTAAGTTGTGGCATATTTTGATCCAAATTGGAATCTTCCTATTTGGTATGTTTTTAGTTTTTGTGGTTTTTTTTTTTACAAACATTGCTGCTTCATTTTTCAATACCCTGTACTTGGGTCAGAAGGTCAAACTATTTGTGCTAACTCAGTTCTTACGTGTTCGTTCAAAGCGTGTGTGTCATCGGAAGTGGAGTTTTGAAAAAGCAAACATTTTAAACACTTACAGGAGGAAAATAAAGCAATGGTAGTCCATTTTGGAGTAGATATCAGCAATATCCAGTCCTTCAATTAATCAGTAGATGAAAATGCAGTGGATGTTCATATATATACTGTAATTCATTCAGCTCTGATGTCATTTCATTACAGCTTATTTTATCTAAAAATATTGGGCCAAATCCTCAAAGGATTTAGGTCAGCATAGCTCCATTGACTTCAAGAGAGCCGTGCTAATTTATGCTCTCTGAGGATTTGGCACATGGTTTTATTTCTGCTGGGTCCTGAGTACTTTCAAAATATGACTGGTTTTGAAACATTTTCCCAAAAACATATTTTAAAAAATCAAAATCAGGTTTTTAAAATGAAGGTTTCTGAATTTGCTAAATGAGCCTCAGTAGTGTAAGCACTAACATCCTTTGAGTTGCAGATCTCCATAGGACATATTGTTTTAAACGCTAACACAGTCTTTAAAATGTGCTCAACTGGCCTGACTGCATTTTTATTTTAGAGGAGCTAATGTAGATAAAGAGAAGGAGGAAAGAAAGAGAACAGAGGAAATTTACTAGGTGCTTGAATTTCCCATGACTTTGGGACACTTAATGAAGCTAGCTATGAGTTTTAAATGGTAGTTTCCTGTGGCTAATCACAGTTTTCTAAAAAGGCCAAAACTTGACCACATTTGCAGGGGAGGGGGAACTTGCATGTTTGTTTGTTTATTTTTATTGTTAGGTCTAGTCCAGCAGGCCTGCTCTACAACTTTACACATTAAAAACCTGGCGAATATTTTAGTAATAAGTTCTTGTTCTGAGGGGAATAGCTGAAAAACACTGCTCAAGGGATGGAAAAGTTACTGAGATCAAGAGAGGGATTTGAGTCATGGAATTCAGGTGCAGATTCAAATCTGAATCCAAACTGTGCCAAATTTTCAGGATGTTCTGGTTCAGCCAGTTATTAGGATCCAGCAAGGAATGGGGGAAGGTGAAATGTGGGGGAGGTAGAGAGAAACCTGATTCAGTGTTCTGTTACAGCCTCATCTCTACTGAGCTAATACTTTATTACTATAATCTCAGAGGCAACAACCTTGGTCAGGATTTCTCATTCTAAGTAGCTTTTCTATCCTCTATCCCAACAGTAATATTTTGCACATCTGTTGCTTGAAAGACCAGGCAATATTTTTTTTACTATATTTTTCTAATTTTTTAAAAATATGTTAATGTTTCTTCTGTGTGTGTCATGCCAGCTGTCTCAGATACTGGAAGCATGATGTGTCTGGGTGCTTGCTAAGCACCTGTCCCCTCTGTTTTAAACTATTTCTCCATCTAATTTTCCCCAGATACTAATATAAAACTATTTTAGGTGACATGATGATGTTTCAATTTTTACAAAAAATCCAAAAAGCTTGAAAATACATATACTAATTGGAGATGAAAACAATAATGAAAAAAGATTACCTTTCTTAGACCTTCTCTACACTACAAGTGACATTGGTATAATTTATGTCACTCAGAGGTGTGAATAATCCACGCCCCTGAGCGACGTAAATTATACCACCTAAGCACTGGTGTAAACAGCACTATGTTAGTGGGAGAGCTTCTCCCACTGATGTAGCTACCGCCTCACACAGAGGCAGGAGTTAAGCCAACGGGAGAGCTCTCTCCCATCAGCTTAGAGCCTCTCCACCACAAGTGCTACAGTGCAGTAGCACCACTGTAAGTGCTGTAGTGTAGATGTAGTCAAGTTATCACGTGACAAATTGGGATATAAATCTGATGCATCTATGTTCAATTTACATTAACTTTCACTGAAGATACCTATAAGGGGGTGTACTAGCCCTTACAGATTTTGGAGGGAATCCTCCTAGTCTTGGATCAGAATTACCCCATCTCTAGATTTGCCTTTTTGAAAACAACAGGGGGAAGAAGTGGTCTCCGGAAGGCAGGCTGGGATCTGTAATGTTAACCCTGTTCTAAAAGCCAAATACTGGAGCCTGACAAGCAAGGTGGTGGTGAGGGACAAATTTAGTTCTGGGTAGTTCCTAGTGGGGCTATCCACGGGGCACAAGGGAACAGGGTCACTGGTAAATGTAGTTTCCTCTGGAAACAATGTGGGCTGAGACAAGGCAAGCTGGGAAATAAAGGCCTATTTAAACCTTGCCTTTTTCCCAGCTGGAGAGAGACCAGGAAGGAGGCAGGCTTCGCAAAATCTCTCCTGAAAGCTCTGAGCCAAGTGAACTCACTGTTGTTTGTTTGTTTGTTTGTTTATTTATTTATTTATTTATTTATTTATTATGATATTATATTATATGGAGCAGAACCCTCTGAGGAGAATCTGAACCAATTTCTATGGAGATTGTGCATATTCTGGGACTGCCTTTTTTACAAGATGAACTAAAGCCCCTGGCAGAAAGTGAGATTATAATAGATAGACTAAAAGGATTGGATGAAGAAAAAACATCGTTAGCTGAATTATGCAAGGAGATAGTTCTGACAGGTTAATGAACAGCTGTTAATTTTGTCTCAAAAATTAGAAATGGAAAAGATCTGTTAAATCATTTAGTCCAGTCCTCCACCCCTGCCAGTGAGAACTGTTCTCCAATGTACATTCTCCACTGCTTTGTCCAGATGATATCGTACCTTACTCAAACAATGAAGTTTCCACTGCTTCCCTTGGGAGATATTTCCACCACATTTTCTAGATCTCACCATTAGGAAATTTTGCTAAATGTTCCTTCAGTTAGTTTAATCCCATTACCTCTGTGTGTCCTATTGGACCACTCTAAACAAATCTCCTCTTTTGTTGGTGCTTCCAGTTTCCAAATAGTTGTAGACAGTTACCATAGCGCTCTCCCTCCTCACATAGTCATCATTTGGCCAAGTTATTGTTATAGTTTTATTTTTTCATTAGTCACTCTCTCCAATCATTTTTATTGCTCCTTTCTGAATTCTTGCCAATTTGTTGACATTCTTCTCTTGCTGGAGCCTTGTCAGATTGTAGCACACACTTTTCTATTCCTTTCTCTCCTACTTTGTCTGTTTGTGTCGTTTTACCTTAAAGGAAATAGAATCAGACTTCAATGACAACAGCCACTCCAGACCATCTGCATTTAACTTGTTCTCTTTTTCTCTCAAAAGGACAGCTATGAACATCTTGAATACCATTCTAAAAGACTGTGAAGCTGGGATTTCCCTTACAAAAGACTCTTTACAGCAGAAGGGAATAAGGGATATTGTTACAATGAAAACTTTACTTAATATTGGACATTTCAAATGTTTTACCTATTTAATGTTGTAACAGCAAATAAGGGTCTTACTAACATTTTATTTCTTGTTGAGCCTGAGACACCCCTTCATTGATACAACAGGGCCCAATTTCTCACTCATTTATAGTATACTTCCAAAGTCCACATATGTGGATCCTCCCATGACTTCAGTCACCCTGAGGGAATAGGAGGAACCCTAATCACATACACTATTTTGGTTCTTCTCTTTTCTTGTAACATTCTCCAGTATAAATCCTCAAATAACTAATCCACGGAGGTTGCCCCTTGATGGGTGATCCAGCCTGTATTGGACAACTTACTCATTATAGAGAGCCTGGAAGACTGAACCTCTTAAAAAGGCTTCTCTTGGTTACTCTTTAGTGGCACTTTAGATTATGCTCCCTTTAGAAACCGGATCTGTGCAGAGTATCTTCACAGTTCTCCTTCTCCTGTAGCCTCCCATACCCCTGTCCCACAGCAGACACTTGGTTTCTCTGCAGAGACCCTGTGAAAACTGAATTAATAAGAGGATCCATTAAATTATGTTAATTAAAAACAAATATTGAGGTTTCATGGAATAATCAATTAACATAATTCCTAAAATGTATGGGCATGATGCATAGTGAAGGGAGATCAACTCCAATGTAGAATAATGTTTTCTTTCTTGAGAAAAGTCAAAATGTTTCTATCCTTTCTAGAAAGGACGGTGTTTAATCTTATGTTCTGTATTTCAAGTATTGTGACAGCAAATGTACCATGCAAGAACTAAGTGATGAGAAACTTCTAATAGTATACAAAGCTTGGCAGCGGAAGGGAGAGAGGGTTACATTAGTTAGCTATCAGAAGGGAAGATGGCTTGTGTGCACTAGTTTATTTATTGCTGTATTCTGACCAAGTCTCTCAAGCATCTTTTCATGAGACAAATTTTGTGATGGACCAAAAATTGTTAATCTGTGGACTTTTTTTCAAAACCAACTAAGTGACTTAGAAACCGAAGGGTAATATTTTTCAGAAATACCTAAGTGACTTGGGAGCCTATGGGTAAAAAATTTGTAAGTGCCTGCAGTGACTTAGGCAATGGGACTTAGAAGCCTAATGAGGAGACTTTCAAAGGCACAAATAGCAGTTAGGAGCCTAAGTCTCAATGAGAGTCAATGAGAATTAGGCATCTAACTGCCATTTGTGCCTTAGAGAGTCTTCCCCTAAATCACCCAGGGTATGTCCATGCTTGAGTTGGAAGTATAAATTCCACCTTGGGTAGACATACGTGAGCCAGTTCTGATCGACGCAGTGCACTAAAAATAGAAATGTAGCCACAGCAGAGTGAAGGATTAGAAAATGGTAGGCGCAAATCCTGTTATCCCAAATGGAGTTTCCCAAACACTTTAATCCATACACAATGGTTTGGCTAAAACAATAGAACACGTTTATTAACTACAAAATGATAGATTTTAAGTGACTATAAGTAATGAGACATAAAAGTAATAAAATTGTTTGGAAGGAAAATAAAGTAAAACACAATTAATGCTTACCTTAAACTAGAATGAATTCAAAGCAAGGTCTCTCTCACCACGTGTTCCCCCAGTCCAATGCTGCTTCCTTTGTTCTTCAGGTGTCGTGGATGCCATAGGTAGACAGAAAGGGAGGAATGATTTGGGGTATCTACTCTCCATTATTATAGCTCTTTCTCTTCTTCAAGAAGCACCTCCAGCTGAGGTTCAGAAGACGCAATGTCTGTGTGGATGGGAACCCCAAAATGTTTCTTTTTAAGATGTAGATTTTTCGCCCATGTCCCTTTTCCTACCAATGAATAGCCACTTAGCAGCTGATATCCCATTTGACCTGTTTACACCTGGCTGGGGCATTAGCTTGTCTCTTGACTCTGAGGAACTGGTTTGACCACTCCCCAGGCTTTGAGTATGTCTTAGGCCATGTCTACACATACTGCAGTGACACAGCTGTACTGGTACAGCTGCGCTACTGAAGCACGTGTGGTGAAGACGCTCTATGCTGATGGGAGAGAGCTCAAACTACCCTTGCAATCAGCATAAGCTATGTCAGTGGGAGAAGCTCTCCTGCTAACAGAGCACTGTGCATACCAGCACTTATGTTGGTGTAACTTATGTCATCCTGGGAGACAAACGTTTTGTCAACACAGGCAGTAGTGTAGACATGGTCGTAGTAACACCACACAGTGGAATCTTACAGCTTTACATACAATGTTGCCACATTCATTTTATTAGGACAATATTGACCAGAGAGTTTTTTTCCAGTGATACCTCACATGGCATATTTACAATAGTGTGCAAGGAGTGAATATGGGGTACAGATGGTCACAGTCATCTAGTTGTCAAACTGTGGCCTGTGGTCCACAGAGACCTGGTTGATCATGCAGTGCTGTCTCTTCTCCATGTTTTGGCTGCTAAATATCATTAAATGACAGATAAAGGTGCATTACTTTTCTAATATAATTTTTCCATATAAGCAATTTGTGAGGTAACCTTATGGGGGAGGAGGTATCCATGAAGCTATCCCTATCTCTCTGTTGAAATGTGAACCACACTATGAAAAAGTTTGATAGCCCATGGTCTGTGCTCTGCCAGTGAAGGGCTGTCATCTAAAATGTATTTTTGAGTACATAGTGTAGCCTTAAATATCTCAAGCAAGGGGACTCCTACCAGTTCCTTTGAGAAAGACTTCTACAATTTATATATCTTGCTCTCAAGAAGTTGCCTCATCTTAAATTTTCTTATTTTTAATTTCATCCCATTACTTATATGCAAGCTGCCTTTATATCACTCTTAATACTACTACTCTCTCCTTTGTGTTTACATTATTTAAATATTAGTAGACTTTTATCATGTCTTTTCCCACTTTTCATTTCCCAACTCTTGGTCATTGCTTTGTATAGCTATATAGAGTAGAACAAATTTAGCTCTTTTAGTCTTTCTTCATAAATCAATCCTTTTACTTGAGCTTGAGGTAGAATTGCACCTGCATACCCACAAGATGAATTTGTCTCTTCTGTGGCTGGTACTAGAATGAAAGGTCCTTGGACAGGGACTTTCTCCTTGTTTCTACAGTGTTTACTGTTGATACTTTAATGTAGGTACTAAACCTGCAGTCAGACCTGCACTACTGGACCCTTACATCCACAGAAAGCCGCTGTTGACTTCAAGGGTGCAGCCACATGGATTCAATTGCAGAATCAGGGCCCTAGATTGCACATTTCTTAGGGCAGTGGCCAATTGTCTATAAAGTATTATGCATACGGCACTGTATAAGCCGGGGTTCGGCATGCGGCTCGCCAGGGTAAGCAACCTGGCGAGCCGCGTGCCGAACGTTGCCGACCTCTGGTATAAGCAATAATAAAGTCTTGCAAATCCTAGGTGAGAACTATTAATCACAGCACTTTCTTTATTCAAATGGAAATTCTGAGATACTTTCTGTACTGAACTACAGCCCACTAACTTCAATAGCATTGTGCGGTGTAGTACCTAGAGTGAAACAGTTTAGAATTTTGGCTCTGTGTGATTATTTTAGTCTAGAATAAATCAACTTTAGTTTTTAAGGTTATACAATAAAACAGTTGTTCAGTTGAAGATTGGCAAACTCACTGAATATACTATGTTGTAAATATTACAAACTGAAAAGAAATACTAGTAACACATACGTAGTTTTTCACAGCTGTCTGGTTCAAGAGCGACATCACTGACAAAGTCACTAAAGATGTGTCAAGAGAAGAATATGTGGAAAAAACAGCTTTTGTCTCATACTCTCTGACAAGGTACTTGGCTAAGTGGGCACAAAGATGGAGGCAATGTCAATTACTATATTGTTGCTGTTTGTTGCAGTCACTCCTAAAGGCCCCAAAGCAGATCAAGGTCCCATTTTGTTAAGCACTGTGCAAGCACATAAATATAGCTTCTACTCTCCAATTAGAGGCCAGACTCAATAAGTGAGTGAAATAAACAGGTGAAAGAACTAGGGGAACCACAATATGATCATATGATTATATAGGTAAATCAGTGTACACAACTTGATGATTAGGAATAATTTAAACTCTCAATATTTACCATTTTAAAAAAAAAGCTTCTTGAATATAACCCTCTGGACTTCCTTAGCTTTTGCCTCTATCCCTTTCTCTACCCTTGGAAAACGTGATGCTGGCCTTCCTACCTAATTGTTTGTATGTATGTATACACAATAACTCTGCTACAGTACCACAGCTACGGAGCTGTGGTTGTGTCACGGTAGGGCTGCAGCATAGATGCTGCCGATATCAACGGGAAGGGTTTTTTTATTGATGTAGGTAGTCCAACTCTCCAAAAGACAGTAGCTAAATCGATGGAATATTCCTTCTGTCAACATAACCAACCAAATTACAGTGTTCATGGTACAAAATTTTTCACATCCCTGGGAGATATAGCTAGGTCAACCTAAGTTTTAGATGTAGACAAGGCCTCAGCATTTTTTCTTTCTCCCTTCCCTGTTATGTGATCATGATAGATAAGCACCTGAAAGACTAGTCTTTATTCTCTGGCCCCAGTCAGCTGACTTAAAGCACCACCATCTATTGCTGGGATATGCATCCCCAAAATGCTTTAATGTGTGGTTGGAATGCAATGATGTTGGCTGGGGATAGTAATCTTTGGAGCTGAATCTTGGTAAACTTGCTAGCTTGTTGATCATTTACAAATGACAAAGAAAGGGTCAGTTTACTTTACAGTTCTGTAGAAATAAACAAGTTTTTAACTTCAGTCTCATTCTCTCCAGATCATAATGAAAAGAAAAATATCCTTACCTGATGTTTCAAGTTTTTTAAATTACTTTTCTCATCTGTTTGAGCTTCTTTTCTTTTAATTTCAGAATTAGACTCAGACTACAATTACTGGCACAAAATCAGTTCCTTATAACCCAGCTCTACCTTCAGATACACAGGCACAGCTCCCAGTGAAGTCAATGGGAGTAACACTTGCATATCCAAGGGGAGATTTGGGCCCTTTGGTCTTAACACTAGCAAATATGCCATAAATTATGTTAAAACAATATTAACTAAGAAATTTCATTTCCCTAATGTGGGCCATTCTATTTGTTCTGTGTCAACCACTTATTTTTTCAATAAACATTTCTAAATGAATCCACATCTGGTGGCTGATTAGTTGAGTTATATGAAAGATAACTTAGTTGGAATTAGGTAGCATAGACTAAAATGCCTTTAGGAATTCAGTCAAATTTATGCTTTCATATGTGGAGTGCAATTTAGTTTTAAATTTGTGGTACTTGTAATAAACTAACTTACATTTTCAAAGACTTCTTTGTTTAGCAAGGGTTTTAAATGTGGGCTAATCTGCTTCCTTCCCATACTTCTAAAAAAAATTATATCCTCTCTTGCTCATATTACCTGGACTCAGTGACCTTTGGATGAACCTTCCCAAGCCACAAATGACGTGGTACTGTACAAAAATACCAGTTCAATGTGTGCACAGCTCAGCAGTCAGTTGCACAAGTGCCTGAATGAATCTTTTGTAGATGTAATTACAGATAATATTGCATTTAATTTGATTACAACAGACGTTACCTAGGAAAACATGTTATTTTGATCATTCTAATAGAAATCTTTAATTTCATCATTCTCTATTGGTAGCAGATTTAAAGTTATAAAAGTTATCTTTTTTTCTATATTTGGGGGTTGATTCTGATCCCACACCAGTGTAATTTCATTGCTGTCCAGGATTTACCGTGCTGTAACTGTGAGCAGAATCGGGCCCTATTTGCCTTTATTGGTTTTAAAACAATGATATACAGCTATACACAAAAATTAATATTTGGATAAGCAAATACTTTAGCAGTTCAGGATATTATTTTTGTACATAACACTTTTCACCTCTCCCTTGTATACCTTGCATCTTTATATGAATTAGACTCCTTCCATAGTGCGTGAGATTCTTCATGTTAGCGTCTCATTGAAGTATTTTGTTCTGTGTCAATGCCCCATTTTTAGAAAGGCTAGGACTCTCATAACCACTTTCTCTCCAGAACCAAGGCAGTAGCAGTTCATTGTTTTAGAGACTCTGCACTCTCACATATTGATGAAAAATCATGAAGCAGATATGAAACAAACCACACTGTAGCCTCTTGTTGCTTTGCTGCTGACTTCTAGGAAGGGGAAATGTTTTTATTGGAATCTCAGAACTGATTGCATTTCTGAGGATCTATTCAAAAAAGTACAAGTGACTCCTAGTTTGCCAAAGTAGATATAACTTAGGCCTTGTAAATCTAGTTACATTTGGAACATCAGTTACATTTGCCATATTTTCGTGGTTTTCCAAGTGCAACCATTGTTTATGCTGGTGCCTTCAACCATCTAGAGTCCCATATAATTGAGCTTTTTTTCCCCTAAAATTGTGTTGATTTTTCTTCTGAATTTGTTCCTGTTTTTCCTTTTTTATAGACAGTACAATGATTATGAAAGGTCCTGGACTGAAAGCCCTAGAAAACAAAATTCTCTGGCCAAAGAAGCCACTGCATGGGCAATAGCATGGGTAATGGCGGGATGAGCTTCCCTTATCGATGTACTTCAGCACCGACCTGAAAGGACCATCTTTACAGATAAGAGGATGGTTCACATTCTTAGTATGGCTAATTCTTGGCTTCACTGCTGTGGATGTGTTGACAAGAGTACCAATTAGTGTGGATTTTTGGAATGGCTTTTGATGTAGATTCGTAGATTATAGATTATAATACTTTATTACACAGGAGGGCTACATAAACCTAAGCACAACTTTGTGTGGGCCAAACAGATTCTACATATTTTAATAATATTTAAAGTCACCTGTATTAATTTATATTTTAAGTTCCTCTTGTTTCATAAGTATGTAGATAGGTTGTTTCTATGTATAGTAGTGTCTATTTACACACTTGTGTAGACTAAAATGATAACAACATGATGACAAAATGCTAATGAATTGGCTGTTAGTATGTTGTTTTGAAGCAGACCGTGGGCCTTATGAAGTGCTCTAGTGGACCATGTATGGCCCGTGGGCTGTAGATTGGGCACCTCTGGATTATAGAATTGGAAGGGACCAATGTGATCATCCATTCAGACTTGCTCCATAATACAGGCCATCAGTCTTCCTTGAATTAATTCCTGTTTGAACTAGAGCATATGTATTAGGGTCTACATGGATGTTTTTCTATTTCACTTAGAACTGGATCACTACTGAATAGCTATCATGTTATGATGTGTTTTGGTCAATACTGATCCTGACCAATATGAACTGTAACATTAAGCTGAAAAGTTCTGAATTCATTTTACCAATCTTCTGAGCTCTCCAGTTGTTCTAAGGCTCCCTCCCCTTTTATTTTCTTGTCACTTTTCTACTACTTTACTTTAAATGAAATAAGTTGACTAAATGGGGACAAGTAAATTTTATGATGTTAACTCCATTTAGTGCAATGGAATTACATCAGGGAAGAATTTTGCCTATTCCTTTTACCCTTGGTTAGTTATAGCAGGTTACTTAGGTGTCACGACTCCTGGTTTCTGTTTCTGGCTCTGCAATTGACATGTTGTGCATCTGACGACAACAGTGGAGAACCACATAAAGAACTACTTTCTTCTAACACTGAAAAAGAAATAGGGAAAACAGTATTACTCCCAAACCTACTTTGTGTGTGCATCTCTCTCTTCTGCTACTTCATTGTAGAGCTTCAGCCTTGAACCACCCTAGTCTCTCTCCCCGAGTCCCGTCTGGCTTCCTGATACAGATTTAAAGAAACAACATATATCCTCATCCAATTGTGACCTTAGCCTGTCACTTACTCTGACTTAGTAACCTACAAGTGAAATGGGTGTAATAATTCTCACCTACCTTATAAGGATGGGTTGTGTGGCTTAGTGTTTAAGCCATTTGAGATATTTGGAGGAAAAACACTTCCAAAGGTTCTCAGATCACTGGTGGTGTGTGGAGAGCTGGCTGATCATGTGATGCTGGGTCTCTTCACTTCCAGCTGATAAAGCATGTTAAAAAACAACTAAAAATATCACTAAATACTTTCCTACTATTACCCTCCCATATAAGCTATTGCAGTATTTATCTTGAGGTTGTAACGCAATCATATTTGGGAGATGATTTTATGAATCAGAGAGGAGCTGATCCATGAGGCAGTGTCTCCATTAAGATGTAATCTACTCTGTGGAAAAGGCTGACAA